CTTGAGATGGGTCTTGAATGAGGCAAGGGAGGGAGTGATGCAGAGGGACTGTGGGATGGAGTTCTAGAGGGAACTCAGTGAGGTTGAAGGCCCACCATTGCATGTGTTGAATGCATGGATGAGGATCTCAGGAGTCTACGGTGACAGACAGTGGTGGAGCCGGGTAATGTTGCAGAGGTGGGGGAAGGCGGAGCGGGTCATAGCATGGATGTGGGAGTTGAAGGATAATTGAGGGTTGAACAGGACGCTGAGGTTCCGTATCTTGTACTTGTGAAACAAACTCAATTAGTATTATTATTCATTATTGTGATGAGAAGGTAGGTAGATAATGTTACTTTCTAATATTTCCTGATATAAAGTAAGAGGTGAGTTGGACCTTTTCCTGTTTCCTGCATTAAGTATTCTGAGATGCTACCCTGCATGAAGGGTGCTGTATAAATGCAAGTTGTTGTTGTTGCACTCATCAAACGGTCAATCGAATTGATGTGTCATACTTTTTATCTCACTAGATGGCGGTATTCTATATAATATGTACCAAATTAGTGTTATATTGATGATAAAAGCCCAACACAGTACTTGTTCAGCAGCGGCCACCCAGAGCTTGCAGATTGATAAGTCAATATGTGGAAAATACACTGGTTAACCTGGCTTTATATTCCTCTCCTGATCCAAATACCCTCAAATTCAAATTAATGGGCTACTCATCTAATTTTTTATCTCTATGAGATTGGTTGCATGCGTTAGTGATGGCAACATTGCGGAGGTGGGGAAAGACGGAGCGAGTCATGGCATGGATGTGAGGAATGAGGACAGGTGAGGGTCGAACAGGATGCCGAGGTTCCGTATTGGTTACATGAGGTATAGAGTGCATCCATGAAGGGTGATGCTGTCAGCGCCTGAGGTTGTTGACATTCAACTGGAGGAAGTTTTCTCTCATCCAGGACTTGATGTCTGTGAGGACAGCAGTGGTCATGGAGTCGATAGTAAAGACAGAGAGGTAGAGTTGGGTATATGAATATACCGAGATGAATGTTCACATGAGGGATTTGAAATGTCAGGAAAGTTCAATGAAGTTGAAAAATAAGAAATTTTTACAATTATGAAAGGGATTGATCCAGGTAAAAATAAGAAGGCTTCGAGCACAAGGGACACAAATTCCGTTACAAAGTTAGCAATAGCAAAGATAGAGGGATATTTTATGCACAAAGCATAACAGTCGAGTGGATTAAATGACCAGACAGGCTAATTGAAGCAGATAAATAGGCTCAAGAGACAATGTGTTCCTGGGATAGATGGATATAATAATTCAAAAATAATAATCCTTGCATTTGATATAGCGCCTTATCACATCTTCGAGACTTCTCAAAGTGCTTCACAGAATATATTGTAAAGTGAATTGACTGTATATTTTGTAGGCAAAACCCAGCAGTGAATTGCGTACAACCGTGTCCCACAAACAGTCGTGGATTGAGTGACAAAATTTTTTTTTTTTTTGATGGGACCTCCGGAAAAGCGATCCGCCAATCGATTAATAATCAGCTTCCTATTTATTGCTAGGTAAACAGAGTAAAGAAACTTGCCCAACATTTCGCCCTGCACAGGAATTGAGCCCAGGTCCTCTCACATGCAAGGTGAGTGCTCTAACCACTAAGCAACAGGACTCCAGGATATGATGTGTGTCAGCTCAACTCAGTATTTTTTTGCTTTGTTTACTCAAGTGACAACTTTGGCTTTCACTTCTAATCAAGTGTACGTTAAAGTGCTTCAAAATCTTTATTTTAAATGGAAGGCACTATGTGGCAGATGTGGAGTCCTGTATCTCAGTGGTTAGAGCACCCACTTTGCAAACGAGAGACCTGAGTTCGATTCCCGGCAGGGTGAAATCTTGGGCAAGTTTCCTTACTCCACACGCCTGATAATAATCCCTCAAAAAAAAACAATAATAAATTGTTAATTTCAATCCACAACTGTTTGTGGGACACTGCTGCGCGCAATTGGCTGCCGCGTTTCGCCCACACATATACAGTCAATTCACTTTACAGTCTATTCTGTGAAGTGCTTTGAGACATCTAGAAGATGTGAAAAGCGCTATATCAAATGCAAGAATTATTATTATTATTATTATTAAATGCAAGTTCGCCCACACAACACACATCACTGCACTTTACAGTAAATCATGTGAAATGCTTCGGACGTCCTCCCAAAGTAAGAGGCTCTGCTTCAGATGTAAGGATTATAATTATAAGGAATTATTGTTGTTATTACAGTAAATTTCATACAGTAAATTTCATAAGTCATCATACCAAACAAAAATGGCTCAGTGATGAGTTATCAGATGTGGCAAGTTAGGCATATGTATAAATACATAAATAAATGTGGCGGGTATTGACAGCATGACGACTTAAGTAGCGGTGACAAGTTAAGACAGGGTACAGTTATCAGGAGTTACTGGATTATTATTGAGTATGCCTTTGGAACAGTCCTTTCCTCGGTGCTGGGTCACCCATAGGGAGACTCTACTTACTCAGTAGTTTTGATAAGGTGTTGATTTTATCAAAGTGCTGATTCAAACCCATAACATTCCCATCTCGAGTTCACTTTGCTGAGTGACTCAGGATGACTATGCTACTGACGGAATCTTATGACCGAATGCATTTTATGCATTCGGTCATATCAAGGACAGGAGAATAACACTGAGCTGGAGAATGATGAAGGTATTGATTAGAGTGGAGGCGAGTTGAAGGGACTTCTGGATGGAGTTCCAGAGAGTGCGGACTGATATGCTGAAAGTCCAACCGCAATGGTGGGGCGGGCAGGTGGAGGATGTGAAGCAGGCCTTTGAGTGGAGAGAGAGGCCAGGCATGTAGGTTTTGAGGAGTTCAGAAAGATATGGTGGAGCAAGACAGAGGAAAGCTTTGAAAGTGAGTTTGACGATTTTGAACTCGATCGTCTGGAGTAGGGGGAGACAGTGGAGTCGGGAGGAGATGGGGCTGATAGGCTCATGGCTCATGGTAGTCTGCAGCTGTTTTTTGGTCAGCCAGGTGTCAGCTTGTGAAGGGAAGAGGTAAGAAGTCTGGCTAATAGAGTTGTCTTTATCGAGCCTGGATATGTTGAATGCATGAATTAGCATCTTGACAGCCTGAGGTAATGAGAGAGGTGGGCAATGTTACAGATTACAGAATTAAAGCATGATTTTTACTTTAGAATGCATGCATCAAGACAATAGAACAAGAGGGCACAGGTTCAGAGTTGTAAAAGGCTTTTTCAAGATAGACACCAGGAAGTTTTTCTTTATTCTTTATTCACTGGTTAATTAATGACTGGAACAAGGTTGCCGGGAAGGGTGGTTGAGACCAGGACACTGGAATTGTTTAAAACACAGCTTGATGCTGTGATGGGGGAACAGTAGGAGGTGTGTTCTGGAGGGATGAGATCAAATAATGTATTCATTAGAGAACTTGCCTCGCAAGGAAGAGGCCCAGGGTTCGATTACTGGTCAGGGCGAAACCTTAGGCAAGTTTCCTTACTCCACACGCCTTTGTTTACTTAGCAGTAAGTAGGAATCCAGTTGTTAGTCGATTGGCGGATTGCTTTCTGGGGGTAGTAATCTCTTCATATAAAGTAGCTGATATTTCCCTCTTTATGCCATCGTCAGTGAAGCCAATTGTAATCCCAATCGCTGTCCCGATCATGTGAGATGAGCACAGGGCAGACTGAGTATAACAGATGAACGCTTTCTCCCTTATGTACCATTCCTCTTCTGTAAATACGTTGCAGGCACAACTCAGTCAAAGCTTTATTTTAATTGGAGGTCAGCTTGGCTCAATTGGTAGCACTCCCCTCCTTGGGTTATGTCTATAAACTCACAGTCTAGGCTGACATTCCAATACAGTGCCGGGGGGGTGTTGAAATTTTAGAGGTTCTTCGGATAAGACATTAAACTGAGATCCCACCTGCGTGTTCAGATGGATGTTCCCATGGCACTCTTCGAAATGAGGAGGGAGTTCTTCATTGTGTCCTGACCAAGAACCCTCCAAATAAAATTGGTCACTGGTTTATGGGACATTGCACAATTGGGCTGCTGTGTTTCGTCCACAAAATACAGGGTCAATCCATTTCACAGTAAATCCTGTGAAGCGCTTTGAGACGTCCTACCGATGTGATAAGGTGCTATATTAAATGGAAGGATTATTATTATTATTTTTTGCTTCTGTGCTCGATCCCCACGTTGGTATTTGAACACATGGTCCAGGCTAACACTCCAGTGCACTGTTGGAGAAATGCTGCATTGATGAAGGTCCTTCAATCAAATAGAAACTGAGGTCCCAATTCCCTGTCTTGAGGGGGAAGTGAAAAAAACCCTAACACTTTTTGAAAAGCAAATGTGTTCTCCCACAACAAATGTCCACATGAAATGCTCATTCACTGTGTTACTGTTTGTGACAAATTAGCAGCCCAATTTACCTATAAACAGTCACTACATTTTACAGTAACTCTTATAATAATAATCCTTGCATTTGGTGCAGTGCCTTTCACGTCAGGAGGACATACCATCCTGCTCCATAGGGTATGATATAAAGAGACTGTGTATTTTATAGGTGAAAGTGGCAGCCAATTTGCGCACAGCGTATCCCACAAACACCCATGGAGTGAATGAACAATTATTTTATTGGGGCATTGTTGGCCAGGATGTTGGCCCTTCGCTGTTTGAGTAGTGCTATGGGATTTTTAACACCCACCTGATCAGGCAGACAGGGCCTTGGTTCCGCATCTCATCTGAAGGAGGATATCTCCAACAATGCAGCGCTCCCCCAGCACTGCACTGGAGGGTCAGCTTAGACTATGTGATTCCAAGTCCCAATGTGGGACTGGAATCCACAACCTTCTGGCTCAGAGGTGAGAGGGTTATAAAGGGAGTACTATAAACCATATAAAACGCTTTGGGATTTTTCAATATGAGAAGGTGTCAATATAAAAACATTCTTTTCTGTGTTTTACAGCTCCAGAGGACTCGCACACTGAAGACCAGAGGAGCTCTTTGAATGAAGCTCCATCACAAGCAATGGCAGAGGAACACCAGACCAAAGGGGAAGGTAATACCTTTGTCAGATTAATTCTCAGTGATGGGCAAGAAACCACTGGTGGCTCCAAGTTCAGGGGCAGAACTACATCTATAAGCCATCAAGTGCTGAGCCCAAATCTCTCGCTTCCAGAAAGTGACGAGTCCTGTAGCATATTCGCGAAACCTTAGGCACATTTCCTTACTCCACACACCTTTGTTTACCTTGCAGTAAGTAGGAACCAGGTTGTTAATCGATTGATGGTTCGCTTTCCAGGAGTGATAAATACCCCCACCCTGAAAAAAACCTGAAAAAGGTCATTCATCCACGACTGTTTGTGGGACATTGCTGTGTGCAATTGGCTGCTGCGTTTCGCCACAAAATATACAGTCAATTCACTTTACAGTAAATTCTGTGAAGCACTTTGAGACGTCTTAATGACGTGATAAGGTGCTATATCAAATACAAGGGTTATTATTATTATTTATTATTATGATACATGAAAAAGGACATTTAAACATTTGATCCTCATTATACAAAATTCCAACTTTTTGAGTTAATCAGATTGTTGGTGTCTCCATCACCAATGCATCCGTGGGTTTGTTTTAACTCTTAATTATTGTTCTCCCTGAGGTCAGCGAATGTTAATCCTGGAAATGCTTTACCCTTTGGGGAGTAAGTGTCAGCATCAGGTACCCCCAGATCAAGTAGATCACAACAACAACAACTTGCATTTATATAGCGCCCTCCACGTCGGGGGCGTCTCAGAGCGCTTAACAATGGTGGAGTCCAAGGCCGAGCCAAGGGGAGGGGGAAGGTGACCATAGGCGCGGTTGAAAGGAAGGTCTTCAGGCGCGACTGGAGTAGTGACTGAAGGCTCAGCCGCCGATGGTGGAGCGGAGGATTCGGGGGACACGGAGGAGACCTGAGCCAGTAGAGCGAAGGCAGCAGGTACTGTGTAGGGAGGGAGGAGGTTAGAGAGATAGGGGGGTGCTAAGGAATGGAGGGATTTAAACACTAGAGTGAGGTTCTTGAGTTCAATCCGTTCTGTGACAGGGAGCCAGTGGAATTTGGCAAGGACTGGAGTAATCGGGTTACGAAGTTTGGTATGGGTAAGAATGCGGGCGGTGGAGTTTTGAATGAGCTGAATTTTGTGAATCACAGGTTAGTTAGAGAATAATGGATCTGCTACACTGCTCCAACCAGCATTCCCAGGTCAGGTCCAGCTTTACGAGAAGCAGAGTAAAACTTCCTCCATTCTCCTCAACAACAACAACTTACCCACACCGCCCTAAACACAGGGTAGCATCTCAGAGCTTAATAGTGGCAGAGCTTGACACTGAGCCGGTTAGAGGGGAGGTGACCGTAGGCATGGTCGAAGAGATAAGTCTTAAAGTATGATTTGAGAAGTGGCCTCATAAGAGTCCCCTGCTGCAACAGTGTCACATTTCCTGTTTCACACACCGGCCATCCGCAGCCTTTCTGAGCTGGGATGCCAACAAAGGTGTTGGAGGTCAAAAGGCAAGGTGTCAATCCTCTCAGAGAGTTTATCCCCCATTTACAATCATTGCTCCTGTATCTGTCTCTCACCCTTACTAAGTGTTTAATCCTGAGTGACTTGCAACTTGTCACACACTGCTTCTTGAATAATAATAATTCTTGCATATGATATAGTGCCTTATCACGTCGTTGAGACAAGTCAAACACTTCACTGAATATACTGTAAAGTGAATTGACTGTATATTTTGTGGGTGAAATGGTTCCTCCGTTCTGCAACACGCTGAAGGTTAATTTGTTCCAATTTATCGAACAGTTCAGCTCTGTGTTTGTGGTGAGTGTAAGGTTAATTTGAAGGACGAATAAATAAACAAATCCATTTTAAAAAGCAGCTCACCGATAAGCCAGCAATGCTGGGAAGAGGTTTCTGAAGACTCCTGACTAGCTTGCTGGGGACTATCATCTTATCCAAGGAAAACACAAATCAAAATTTTGTAAAGAAAGAATGAAAGAATTCATTTATAGAAACTTCAGCACCAGGCAGTCCACTGGCACAGCATGTTACTGCATTGCCCAGTCAACTGTTTGCATCTCTTTCACCCGGCGCCACTCTGTTGCATTCTTTATCTTATTATCTCTTCTTATCTCCCAAATCACCTCCATTAATTAATAATAATCCTTGCATTTAAATCAGTGATGTATCACGCCATTAAGACGTCTCAACGGGCTTCACAAGATTTTATTGCAAAGTGTAGTGACTGTATATTTGTAGGGGAATGCAGCAGTCAGTTTGTTCACAGCAACGTTCCACAACAACATGACTCGCATTTATATAGCGCCCTGCACATGGGGTAGCATCCCGGAACACTTGACAGTGGCGGAGTCTGACAACGAGACGGGGGAGAGGGAGGTAACCGTAAGCACGAACAAAAAGGAAGGTCTTTAGGCGGGATTTGAAAGTGGGGAGGGAGGGAGGGAGGGGGCAAGGCGGAAGGATTGAGGGATAGAGTTCCAGAATTTGGGGATTTAGTGGCTGAAGGAACAGCCACCGATGGTGGAGCGGAGGGTACAAGGGACAAACAGTAGTCTGTAGCTGGCCTAGTGGAGGCAGCAGGTGGTGAAGTGGGGGCCAAGCGGGTCGGATAAGTAAGGAGGTGCGAGGGAATTAAATGAGTGAGAGGATCTTGAAATTGATCTGTTTGGTAATTGGAGCCAGTGGAGCCTGGCAAAGACTGGTGTGATGGGGGTACAGAGTTTGTGCATTTGAGTATCCAGGTAACGGAGTTTTGGATTAATTGAATTTTGTGCAAGGTGGAGCTGGAGAGACCAGCAGAATTGCTATGGGATCTATAATGTCCACCTAAACAGGGAAACAAAGCATTGCAGAATCTGGCTTCTGCAGATCGGGACCCCTGACAGCATTCTAGAAAAAACTCGTCATCTAATCCTTTTTCACATCCACCCTTTGACCGATTATTTGCTATGACACCTTTTTTTGCTGTATTTCAATGATTTTCAATCATCTTATGTCCAGCCCACACTAATGGTCATGTTTTCCATTAGGGTTGATATACCATCCTATACCATCTGCTTCTTCACTGAGTTTATTTCATAGATTTGATGGCCTGAGAAAAGGATGTTAAGATTGGGAGCCAGTGCCCTGAGTAATAACAACAACTTGCATTTATATAGCTCCCTCCTTCATACAGTTAGTGTCTTGGAGCACTTAACAGTGACGGGGCATGATGCCTCACCAGGGGTAAAGAGGAGAGGATGGTCTTCGGGTGTGATCTGAAGATGGGCAAGGAGGAGGCAAGGCTGTGGAATTAAAACAGAGTTCCATAGCTTCACAGCTCCTGATGGTGGAATAGAGGGGGGGGCGAGGAGAAGTTACGATTAACCTCAGTGGGGTCGTAGGTGGGGTTTAAAGCACCTTGAATGGGTTCTAATTTAACAAAAATAATACTTGCATTTGATATGACGCCTTATCGTGTAGTTGAGACGTCTTAAAGCACTTCACAGAACATACTGTAAAACGGAGTAACTGTGTATTTATGGGTGAAATGTGGCCATCAATAGCTCAGTAGTGTCCCAGAAACAGTTGTGGATTGAGTGACCAATTTTTTTTTTTTGCAGGATTGTTACCCCAGAAAGTAATCGACTAACAACTTGGTCCTACTTACTACTAGATTAACAGAGGCATGTGGAGTAAGGAAACTTGGCTAAGATTTTACCCCACCTGGGAACCAAACCTGCTTGTGAGGCGAGGCTAACCACTACACTACAGGACTCCACAATTTGCCTGATTTGTAAAATAATTAGGGAATAATGGATCTCCAGGTACCCAGATATATCTCGGGGCAAATTGCTGAGACTCTGCTCGGACACCAATCTCCTGCTGGGTGCTCCACTGGCTGCAATCTGGTCTCACAGACAGAGCTAAGAATGACATGAGGAACATTCCAGAGAGGACCAATCTGGGGACCTGCTGGACCCACTGTCTATCAATTCATTTGCGAATATTAAAAATTAGACTCCACTGCAAATGCAAGGTGGAGTGAGAGTTTGGGGAATTATGTGTTTGTGACTTGGGACCTTTTGGAGGAACAATGGCAGAGTAATAGTGATAAAATATATAAAGGCAGGCTTTGTTTGTAGCTCCGAGCAGTTGAACTTTTTGAAATCGGGTCCCTGTGTGTTTTGGCAAGGAATGACATAAACAGCCTCCATTTCCCAGCATAGTCTGCAAACATCCCAACTAGCTGAGACCAGTGATGCTATTGTGAATACTGGCCATCTGTATTTCAAACAGTCCACGTCTTAAGAATCAACACACACACACTGAGTCAGCACAAAATGTCAACCACACAGTTAACTTTCACAGAGTTCAAAACTAAAATCTGGACCTGAAGCTCCACAGGTATTTTGCACAAAGTAAAAAGGGCACCATATCCCAGAATACAATTGTCACGTTGTTTTTTTTAAACACAATACACTCTTCAAAAATGTCAAACTAATTTGCCATAGTCCAAAGACTAGCTTGTTCCTTCCTTGGACAGAAAACACAACAACAAAATTACATTTATATGGCGCCTTTCATGTCCGAAGGATGTCCCAAGGCAATGGATATTGAAGGTTTTGTACCCCAGCTGGGGGTTGGAATCAAAAGGAATGGAAGGTAAGGGGGTGGGTTGGGAGGATAACTGAACGCATGTTCAAAGAGGAAAGTCTTAAGATGGGCCTTGAATGAGGCAAGGAAGGAGGCGAGGAGGAGGGACTATGGGTTGAAATTCCAGAGTCTGGGGGCAGAAAAGCTGAAGGCCCAAGTGCCAATGATGCGGCAGAGAGGGCAGGGGACAAGGAGAAGGCCAGAACCTGCCGAGTGGAAGGAGCTGATAGATTGGTATAGTCTTAATAGGTCGCAGAGTTAGGGTGGAACAAGACTGTGGAGGCTTTAAAAGTGAAGACAACGATTTTAAATTCTATCCTCAGAGGGATGGGGAGCCAGTGAAGTCAGGCGAGGATGAGAGTGATCGGTTGAAGTCGGCAAAGGGTTCTCTGCATTTACTATAAATACAAAATGGCTGCCAATTGGAGGACAGCATTTCATGCTGAAATGATTGGGGATTGTGTACCTCTTCAGTAGAAATAAATAATAATAATCCTTGCATTTGGAAGCTCTCCCCGCATGAAGGGCCCACAAAATATACAGTCAATTCAATTTACAGTGTATTCTGTGAAGCGCTTTGAGACGTCTGGAAGATGTGAAAAGCAAGGATTATTATTATATAAATGCAAGTTGTTGTTGTTGGTACATGTCAGGAGAAAGTCCCATAGCGCTTCACAAGATAGATTTTAAAGTGTAATGACTGTTTGTTTTCTGGGCATATGTTCTAGCAAATTTTATGAACACTATGTTCCACAACTAGCCATGGAGTGAGTGGCCAATGTTTTGTAATTGAGGGGTTGTTGATCAGATAACCAGGAAAGAGGAACTCCCCATTCTTTTCGAGTAGTGCCATGGGATCTTCCACTTGAAGAGTCAGCTGGTCTCTGGTTTATCATTTCATTGGAAGGACGGCACTTCTGATAATGCAGTGCTCCCCCAGCCCTGCACCAAAGTGTCAGCTTCGACTATATGTGTTTTAAAATCCTGATGTGGGGCTTGAACCCACCAACTTGTTGCAATTCTCCCTGAGGTTGGAGGAAATAAATATTGACTGTATTGTCTGGATGGCTGCTGAGTGAGCCAGCTTGACAGAGAGAGAGAGAGAGTGGGGGCCTGAATCTCTCCATGAGCCCAGGGTCTCCACAGGCTGAGCCGGGGGAGAATAGGAGCGAGTTGGAGCAGCCAGGTCCCCGACATCTCCCGTCTCTCTGGCTTCCAAATTTCCTGAACTGTCCACTGTAATAAAAGACTTAACAGGAACGCAAGAGGGCAAAAAGAAGCGTCAGCACCATAGCTTCTATGTTCTTCGACTAGGCCTCAATTTATTGTTCATTTATTCTCACTGCAGTTCTTGTATTTAAACATTTTTCAGAGGGAGATGCAGACAAGTGAAAGTTCGGGGAAGACGCTTGGAAAAACGGTTGGAAAGAACCAAAGTGTGGTGAAAAACCAGGGTTGGAAAGGACCTTGTCTACATCCATGTTGTGTTGCCTTGGGGCATTACAGAATACAAAGACTAAAATTCTTCAGCAGATGGTTGAAGCATCAGAACAGAATAACTAGAAGAGAAGTCACAGGAGCATTGGAATGTCCATTATTAGGAAAAGACCATCGCAGTTGATCTGAACAGTACTAAAGTTGATTCTTTTTTGAAAAAATAATAAATTATCCAACACCACACTACCTCTGACACCCTTCAGTTGAATTTATTACCAATTCGCTATTTACTTTTGAATCTGCTGATCAGACTTGCTCTCTGTAAAGAGTCTCCCTCAGCTCTCTATGTAAGAGAATGAAACCCGGACTGAATCAATATAATCACCATGGATTTGTGCAATCCATTTAAACACAATTTCTTGAAGAAAGTTGCTTGAAGCAAATAATGTGTATTGCTAATCAGTGTTGCACATATACTGCTGAATACATTGTAGAACATAGAACATAACACTGCGTAACTGGAACTGTTCTCCCATGTATTGGTTACTTGTTGGTCTGCCGAATATCTCATATTCAGTGTTCTGCCAGTGTTCTTTTCATGCTGGGTTGATTGATTACTGATTACTGCCACACCTGAGGACTGTCATAGATTCTATCCCTCAGTCCTCACCTAATAATCATAATAATAATAATCCAATAATTTGATATAGCGCCTTTTCCCATTGTTGAGACATTTCAAAGTACTTCACAGGACATAGTACAAAGTTTAGTGACCTTGTATTTTGTGGGTGAAATGTGGCAGGCAATTGTGGCCCTCAAACAGCCATTGAATGAGTGATCAATTTTATTTGGAGGATTGTTGGCCAGGACACTGGGAGAAACTTCCTTCTCATTTCGAGTAGGTCCTTGGGATCTTTAACATTCACCTGAACAGACAGACAAGACCTCAGTTTAACATCTCATCCGAGGGGAAGGAACCTCTCATGCTACAGCACACCCCCAGCACTGCATTGCAGGTTAGACTATGTGATTCCAAGGCCCGGCATGGGCCTTGAACCCACAACCTTTCGATTCAGAGGTGAGAGTGCTTACCACAGTGCCAGGCTGACACACATGCAGAATTTTGCTGGATTGAGAGGCGCTGACAGAGGTTGTTGCAATTCTCTCTGCTGTTGGGGGAAATCATAGATGATCTGTACTGCCTGGGTGGCATCTTACGCCATCAAGTAACGGTAAACAGGCTCAGGCAGGATTTTCGATCTACAGTGATTCATGTGATTTACAGCCCATTCTCCACCCAGCTCTGCTCCTTCTGCAAAGTGACTCTGCAATGGAAGAACAGCTTGTGCTTTCATACAACAGCAGCAACTTGCCTTCACGCAGAGCAGATTCTCAAGAGTGCTTAACACTGGCAGAGCCCGAGCCAGGGGAGGGAGGAGGTGACCATAAACAAGCCAAAGAGGAACGTCTTCAGTCATGATCTCAAAGAGGGAAAGGAGGGGGCAAGTTGAAGGGATTGGGGGAGAGTTCCAAAGCTTCACGGTGCAGTGGGTGAAAGTGCGGCTACTGATGGGGGAGTGGAGGGGACTAGGAACAAGCAGGAGGCCAGAGCCAGGCAAGCGGAGGCAGCAGGTATTGGAGTTGGGAGAAAGCAGGTCAAAAATGTAGGAAGGTACCAAGGCATGTGAAGGGAATGGATGAAGCCAATGGTGGGGTAGGAAGTGCGGGGGACCCTCAGCAGGCCCGGGGTCCGCTGAATGGAGGGACCAGACAGGCTAATAAGGGGTTATGGAGTACTGTAGCTCAGTGGTTAGAGCACTTGCTTTGCAAGCGAGAGACCTGGGTTCGATTCCCAGCAGGGTGAAACCTTGGGCAAGTTTCCTTACTCCACGTACCTGATAATAATCCCTCAAAAAAAATTGGTCATTTCAATCCACGACTGTTTGTAGGACACTGCTGTGCGCAATTGGCTGCCACATTTCACCCACAAATATACAGTGAATTCACTTTACAGTCTATTCTGTGAAGCGCTTTGAAACATCTAGAAGACGTGAAAAACACTATATCAAATGCAAGGACTATTATTATTATAGAAGAGAGTATCTTGAAATTGAGCTGCTCTTTGATAGAGAGCCAGTGGAGCCTAGCAAGGACTGGTGTGATTGGGGTACAGAGTTTAGTATAGCTGAGAATATGGACAATTGAAGTTCTGGATCATTTGAATTGTCGGTAGTGGAGCTGGGGAGACGTCAAGGAGGACATTGGAGCAGTCAAGGTGGGAGATAATGGATGAGGGTTTTAGCTGCTTTGGGGGTGAGGTATGATAGGAGGTGAACAATGTGATGGAAGTGGAGGAAGGCGGTCTTGGTTAGGGAACGGATGGAGGGAGGAAGGACAGCTGGGGGTCGAACCTGACGCCCAGGGTATGTACAGGTTTGGAAAGGCCAAGGAGGTTGAGGAAGTGAGAGTTGCAGGGGAGAAAACATTGACGGGAGTCAAGGAGTTTGGCTTCAGTCTTGTCGACGTTCAGCTGCAGGAATTTTGCACTCATCCAGGCCTTGATGTCTGACAGGCAAGCTGATAGAACATCAGCAGACCTAGAGTCACAGTTGAATGAGGAGAAGTAGATTTGTGTGTCATCCACATACATGCGGACAGTTATCCCATGTCTGTAGATGGCAATGCCAATAGGGAGCATGTAAATGAGAAAAAGGAGGGGGCAAGGAAGGAGCCTTGGGGTACACTGCAGATGACTGCGGGAATGGGAGAAGAAGTGCAGTGGTTGATAGGTAGGTCTAGAATCAGGCAAGTGTGGGCCCATTAAAATGGACGAGGGAGGAGAGATGGTAGAGGAGGATAGCATGATCCACTGTGATGAATGCAGCTGAAAGGTGCAGGAAGACAAGGAAGCAGACCGAAAGAGAAAGAACACCATTAGCGACTTTGAGGAGCACTGCCTCTGTGCTGTGGCAGACAAAGCCCAGACTGGAGGGTCTTGACAACGGAGTTGGGGAGAGTTGTGAGCAAAGTTGATATGCAACATGTGCTCCAGAACTTTATCAAGGAAAGCCTGGTTGGAAGTGGGCCAATACTTTGCAAGGTTCGAGGGATGAAAGGTGTTTTTTTTGAGAAGGGGAGTGATGACAGAGGGGGTGGAGTCTGCGGAGTGGGAATGGTTGACTGTGTCAGCCAGCAGTGAGCAGAAGAGGGAGAGTTGAGTGACCAGTAGTGGGGTGGGGAGGGGATTGAGGCAGCAGGTGGTGGGCTTAGTGTTGGTGATGATGGTTGAGAAGGAGGAAGGAGAAATGGAGACAAAGGAGTGGAGGGTGGGGGCAGTGTTAGGAATTGTAGCAGAAGGCGTAGGTGTGAAAGCCAAGGGAGGGGTGCTGGGAGTTACAGTAGGGGGGGAAAGAAGGCAGCCAGGAGGATGTTATCCTTAATAGTGTAAGGAAAGAGTTGAAATAAAATGGTAACTTTGCAGAAATATTAAAAACACTGACTTTGTTTACCAGGAATGTCTCTTCTGATAAGGAGAAAATCGAAAAANCACTTCAAAGAAAAGTTTTAGTTTCATCCATGACTTGGACGCTTGGTGGTCTGAACACTGCTGACACACATGCTCTGCAGTACCGCCTATGAGCACTGAACACAATATGTGTATGTGCTATTTGATTGGTCTGGACTTTATACAGCAGCCAATCAGGTAGAAAAATAGATAGTTCAGTCAGGAGCAATGAGATGCAGATCATCACGGGCCAACTCCCAGGTGCCTGCTGGACACCAAGTGTCTCCCGTTCTCCAGGAAGAGATAACTGATCATATTTGATTCTCTGAAAGCTGGTTCTTGCAAGAGTGGGTTATTCCTCTTCTATAATCATTGACTGTTGAACCACAAAAAAGGAAACAATTGGTTAATATCCAAATTATGTGCACACTAACTCATTATCAAATAAAAGTAAAGTTTCTTTACATGAGCCTTCATGCAAGACAGTGTTGGGTTCCTTCTACCGTAATGGGATCCTCGCCATTAACCATTAAAGGTGTGAACACAGAGTTGTACAATCAAGACAGTTTATTCAACAATGTAACAGAAATATACCAGATAAGCAGTCTTGCCTGATGACCAGCTCTCAGCTCAGCGACCTGTAATTCTTACTCTGTGGAGCTCAACTTTCCTTTGTGTGTCTGTTGTATTTATACCCAGCTAGTTGGTCTACCCGTGATCTGCTCGTGATGGTACTTTTCCATTAGCCTATGTGCTCTGCTGAGACTAGTTTTCCTCCTTAACTAGCTCCTTGTCCGCACTCCCTATTCTTCCTAAATCAGTATGTTTTCATAACCTTGCATTCCCATGTTCTCTAGTCAGGCGCCCTACTCACAGGTCGCTGTGTTAGAATATACAGTTTTTGTATACTGCTAGAATCATAATAGATGTTGTGAATGGGTTAACTTTTAAGTTAAGTGTGGGGGACAACTGGACTGACAGTCATGGGATAGGACACATCTGGTTTTCTCTGTTTTTGAAAGAATAACGGACAGGGGCAGGGGGTCACCTCTTATCAGTAAATGACAACAAGCCCACAGAGGTAACGGTCCAAGGTACCGGTCGACACAGGATCTCGACTGAGCAATAAGTCGCTAGAATCTGACAGGGCCAACCGACAGAAGGCAACCCTCAAGAATAGCAATTAATGAGCAAGTTGCTTAAACTAGAGGTCCTTGGTACCATCCCGGGATACTGATAAGAAATAACCAGTCACTTAAAAGGAATGTACTAATGATCCCACACCACAAAATAATGAGCACCAGATACAGTCTTAAACTGATCAATCCTCTATCTTAGACAATTAGATCAGATAACAGGGGTCTTAAGGACAATGTGTATGTGTGCTGAGGCACGTACACCCAGCATGATTTCAGCCAGGTGATCTAATGTCCGCACCATGATTAGATGAACATCGGTATAAGAGTTCCGTTAACTTTGTGTATGGTGCCGTCCCGGGTCGCGGAGACAAGGGTACGGTAGATGGGGCCATCTTGGGCTGCGGAGACAAGGGTACGGAGATGGAAGACTGAGAGCTAGAAACACTAAGACTGAGGATATCAGATGGAAGATTGAAAGCTGTAAGCAAGAAGACTGAAAGCATGAAGAATCAAGCTTGTGTGCTGTAAAGACACAGTGTTGAACTCTTGAACTCGAGATATCTATAGTGGTGTTATTCTGTTATAAGATCTGTTGATTGTAC